ATCTTACGAAATTTATCGGTTTTAGCTGTTCAAATAAAGGAGTTTTACAGTAAAATCCCATATCTGAACAATCAGATGTATGGAAGATATATGTTGTAGTCACCCGATCCTTGTTATTTTCACTGTACCTATTCTGTTAATAATGAGTGAAAATGGTGCGAAATTTCATATTCCTAGCTGCATAAATGGAGGAGTTATGATAAAAGACCTTATATCTGAACAATCAGTTGTATGGGGGCTGCAGGTTATAGTGACCCGATCTTCGTTATTTTAACTGTAAGTCTTCTGCTGATAATGAGTGAGAACAGCGCGAAATTTCATGGTCCTAGCTAAATAAATGGATGAATTATAACGAAAAATCTCATATCTGAACAATCAGTTGTATGGGAACTATAGGTTATAGTTATCCGATCTTTTCAATTTTCACTGTAACTTTTCTGTTGATAATTATTGAAAACAGTGCAGAATTTCCTGTTCCCCGCTATATAAATGGAGGAGTTATAACGGAAAATTTTATATCTGAACAATCAGTTGTATGAGAGCTATAGGTTATAGTGACCCGATCTTTGTAATTTTCACTGTAAGCATTCTGTTGATAATGGGTGCAAGTGCTGCAAAATTTCATGTTCGTAGCTGCATAAATGGAGAAGTTATAACGAAAAATCTCATATCTGAACAATCAGTTGTATGGGAGCTATATGTTATAGTGGTCCGATTCTTCCGGTTCCGACAAATGATTAATACATTATAAAAATATACCCACCTACCAAATTTGATCCGGATATCTCGAAAACTGAGAGACTAGATTGCATACAAACAGACAGACAGACGGACAGACGGACAGACAGACAGACGGACAGACGGACATGGATAAATCAACTCAGCTCGACGTTCTGATCATATAAGTATACATTTTAATGGGTCTATCTCTTTTTGTTCTGGTACTTACAAACATCGGACCAAAGTTATAATACCATTTCATGCTCATGAAAGGTATAAAAATGGAGTGCATAATTTGATACATGTGTATTTCAGTTACCTATTTGCCCTTATTCAAGTTAAGCTTAAACTTTTTTTAACTGGTGGCAATCCTCCTTCGTATGGTTCAATAGTAAAGCTTTTTCAATGATTTAAATTAAATTTTTGTAACAGGTGGCAACACTTTTCAAGAAAAACCTCGCTGTACATCTACAGGCCAAGCTCTTTAATTTGACGGCTCATTTTTCAATCTCTAAATGCAATGAGAAGACAAATTTTCAACTCCAAATCAGTGCTGACACTTAGGATTATAATTATATTTTCATTACTTAAGATTGCGATTACTGTAATTGTAATCCAGAAAATTTTCAGCATTAGAATTACTGTCCATAATAACAGTATGCAGCTCTTGAGAAAACGGTCAAGAAAAAAATTGCCATTATTTCGTGTGTGTGTGTCCAAGGAATTTTGACATCTGATACTTGACCGCCTCTTTCCTCAAGAAATTATGAAACGGGCGTATATTTCTATTACAAACATGGGTTGCCTTGTGCTCTTCTTTCACAAAAGAATTTAGAAAACCGAAGTAGAAAGCGTAGCAAGTTTCTTAAGAACTTCATACCGCCTCAAAGAAATTTTACACAAGAAAATTTCTAAGCCATTTCTTGTACCTCATTTTATACGGAGTGTTTGCTTTTCTTGTGAGCTTCATACTGGTCTTAAATCATCTTCAAAACAGTATACAGGATTATTTGTTATTCCCATAGTATCTAATAGGAAGACCAACTTCAGGAACTTCTTCATTTACAATGCGCTCTAATTAGCCGTCATGCCATTTATCATAATCATTTATACATATGTCGTGTGCAACACAATCATATTTGGAGCTGAAAAAATATACACGAAAATACGAAAATTTTCGGAGGGTACATTCAATTCAATCTTACTCCATCAATGGCATGCTCACGACAGTCTGAGACACGCAGCTGTGGAGGAATACAAAAGACTTAAGCAACGAACTTTATCAGACACTTCCAGTTATGGATACATCTTCTTTTCCTTTTGTTCAACACATAATTGCAGATATTATTTGCTCAATTTAAGAACCTTTAAAGCTCCACTTTCATATATATTTCAATTTAATTTTAACTTTCTGCACCAACTGGTATTTATCCAAATAAAATGGTTTTATATCGAAAGTCTAACAAAATATCATTCGAATTTATATTTCTACACTTAAAAATATATGAACACACAGATCTGTTTTACATCGGATAGGCTGTTAAATTATGCTTTTTATTTTCTAAAACAATGCTGGCCGAAACGTGTTTTACTATTCGTGTGGCCGTCATTGCTATAAAGCTTTGCAAGTAATTACGCTATAAACTTTTTGGCTAACGTTCGATAATAACCTTCGATATTCAGTATGCATATTGGATTGAGCGCGAACTCATAACCAAACATTCATAGTATATTGGAAATACACTGGAGATGGGTTCGAAAAAAAAACTAAAAACCATAGTAACAAGAGAGAAAATGAAATCCAGCTCATTCATGAAGGGAAATATAAGACAATCTCTCTCTCTCGTTAAAATTTCAATTCGATAATCGGCTGGATTTCGAATTTATAACGAATGGAAAATTAGATAACGAAGGTTCCATTTTTTCTGGAGAATGGTCTAGTTCTCGAATCGAAGGTGAGACCCAAAATAAATATTCATTTTCCAATCATTTTCGAATGTTCACCAAGCCCAATGTTTATTGGGTATACATAAATAATATAGACTATAGAAACTATACTTTCACACGCAGACTATTCAAAATTGTATTTAAAAGATTCAGAACACTATCCTTCTAGAAATCTGCTCATGCACTCTTAACTTATGGCTGAAGGCCTTCAAGCCGAAGACATTTTTTGAATAAATATATAAAACCGCAAAATACTATTCTTAGGAAGATGGCGGATAGATCAAAATCATTGCTCAGCAGACCTGAATTAAATGGCCGGAAGAAAATTTCATGAGCAATCAACATGTCCGGGCTGAGCTTATTGTGATAAGAGGACTAGGCGAATTGAGTTCTTGGGCAGAAACTGCAGGCTCAACATACATTCCTCAACACAAAGAAAAAAGTTGCTTGTTTTAGCGTTGCTTCCATCTTCAATGAACTAAAGCTTTCTCTCTCCTCCAGCGCTAACTTCCTGAAAGTCATACGTACACGAAAACTTAACCGGTAAAAGAGCACATAACACCGTCTTAAAAAGGTGTATGGTGCCCTGTATTCCCACTATAAAAGGCTGGTAAAGAAGTTCACACCTTAAGTATGGATGAAAAGCCGTAGAGACAAGCTAAATCGATGCAACGTTAGGCAGAGTGCAGGGTTAGCATGAACTTTTCCTGATCTAGAATACGTGGCAATGAATTGGTCGACGAACTAGCCTGAAATTTGTCGGCTATTGATATCTCAGTGGCAGAAGAGGTTCTTGTAACTCTGGGCCACTTGACAAAATGTGAAGGTGGAAAGACTTAGAATCCCGCAGGGTCTGAGGGATTTTGTAAGACGTACTGCTTAAAATGCTTCGAAAGCAAGAAAAGGACGCAGCCTGTATGTGCAATATTTAAAAAAAATATTATGATAATAATACAAGAGCAAAAAATTCGACTTCGACCAGATAAACGAGGTACAAAATAAAGACAAAAATATGGCGGAAAAAAATTAAACAATCAACTTCTGAATAAGCAAAGAAAATGATAGCATTTTATTTCATTCATTTAACAAGCTCCATTTACTCACATGCAAGCTCAACTAAGTACAACGTCATAAACACCGCACATAACCCCCACCCCTCCCCCTCCCTACAGAGGAATTGAGAGGTGACGTCGGCAACTAAGTATGCCGCCATCATTGCAACACAGACCACACCGCCAAACACTTCATTGGGCAGCGTCCCTGACTGACTAACTGCTGTGCTGACTGACGACCAAGCGAAGCACATGCGCACAAAAATCAACAAGTCGAGGATTTAAGTTCGTATTGAACCCCGAACGGACACTATTCTCACGAAACAGGTTTCGTATATTTACTCCTGAGCACCACCCCAACTGTAGTATTTCCATCAAGCAGTTCGTTGGACTAAAGCAACGGTATTTCTTCAAGTTTACATCTCAAGGCAGTAGCATAGAGCAATCACTCATAGCTCGGTCGTTGTCTGTGCATTCTTTGAGCTGTCTTTTCAAATAGTCACACTGCCAGGTGGGCAAGCAATGCAACTTCGTACCGACACTTACAAATCGGACTCGTTGTATGGCTCTAAGCACCAGCGCACACGCTTGCACATACAGGTAAATGCACAAATACAAACACATACACTTACACTTTTTATGTTATGTTATGTTATGTATTGGTGTTTACAGTCCAAAAACCATTCCGTCACCGCCTTTGGTTTTCGGAAGAAATCTAAAATCTGCCAACAACACCTATCTCAAGAAAGCCAAGGACTGTACTTGCAGTCATACACATAGTTTTAATATAGTTATTGGTGATCGCGATCTTGATAAATACAGTTAAGCCAGTGAATAAAAGAACGCATGTATTTTTAATCATCCGAACTAAAAAAAAAAAAACGATATGAAACCGTCCCCCTAAAATTGTATTACATATGGATGGCGTGTTCTCAGAAAATAATGCTTGCGATCTTACTTTTTGATTTTAAACACGGGGGTGATCCCAGAAGTACCCGACTGAACAAAGAAAACGCAAAAATGTTGAAAAAATATATATTTATTTTTCAACATAATCTCCTTCCAGCTCTATACACTTTTCCCAGCAATGTTCAAGAAGTTCGATAACCTTTTTATAATAAGAACTGTCTTGCTCCTCAAAACAGAAATTAACTGCGGACATCATTTCTTCATCGTTGGAAAATCTTTGACCACGGAGCCATTTTTTGAAGTTGGGAGACATAAAATAGTCCAAGGGGGCTAAAACTGGCGAATAAGGTACAATCCCGACACTGTTTTTGGTCAAGTGTGATCAATAGCGGCAGCCATCTTTCCCATTTCCAAATCATCAGATAATATGCGATGTACCGAACTTTTTGAAATGTCTACTATATCTGCTACCTCGCGCACTTTCAGTCGACGATCATCCATTACCGCTTTGTGGATTTTCTTCCCCATTTCTGGAGTCATCACTTGATTTGGTCGACCACTGCCATGTTCGTCTTGGCAGCTCGTACGGCCTCGTTTAAACTCTGCTACCCAATATTTTACTGTTGTAAACGAAGGAGCAGACTTGCCAAAAATAGAATCGATTTCAGCTTTTATATTGGATGGGCTGAGGCCCATACAAAAGTATTGTATCACATAACGATGACCAATTTTCTCCATTTTCACAAAATCACTGAAAACGCTCATTATTGACGGCTGCCAAACAAATACTAAACAACGTCGCGTCTTCAAACTTTAAACATATATTTTATAGATTGTGTAGTTTTTAATAGAGTGATATTCTTCAAACATCTACTGCCACCTCTAGATTAGGCCGGGTACTTCTCGGACCACCCCCGTATTCTGCTCACCGAATTCTCCTTTTAAGTTCAATGCATCTTTTTGCTTTACGTATTCGTAAAAAGGTATGAAGACATTTGCCTATACTCTTATATATGCTTAAAATAAGTTAGTATCTTAATCGATCAAACCACCAAAAACTAGTTGTGGCAGTGCAATTATAATATTAGTCAAAGGTTTTCAAGAGACGCACTTCCAACAAAAACTCTATAAACAATAATACTGCCAAGTGAGCAACAAAACGGTAGCGCCAATTCACGCCACACGTATTAGCAAACGCCGCTGGGAATAATGAAAATAATGTACCGTCAACCAACGATGCCTGAGATAATAACCCCGATGGTCTTCACAATTTTATGCATATGTACATATATATGTACGGAAAACATTCTGTGCAAGTATTCATGGCTTCCTCAATTTAATACCCGATAGCATCTTTCGCACGCCACATCTAATATCTTACCTGCTCCTGTCGCCAAACTATTGCCACTTCTAATACAAAACATAAAGTAGGCAATTTAGTATCTGCCTGTAAGCAACAACATAGCCGATGGAGTCTATTAGTTTAGCAATTGAAATGTAAGTGGCAATGCAAACCAAACGCAACTGCCGACTGGGCACTTTTGTCGCGGCGCGCTGGGCTACACACCGGTATTTACTTACGGCAATTGCATTTACAAGTTTCATCCTTTTGTATTCGCATATCTCACTTAATTTAAATGGTGCGTAATTTGACTGCAATCAGAATATAGGTGTGTGTGCATTCGTACGGTGCTGGCAGCCAACTAAGTAATCGTAGGTAGTCAACATTCGACAGTAAGGCCCGTTTGCGCATCCGTACCGCGCAACTACCGGACTGGCAGTTAATTGGCCAACGGTGAGCGCTCGTTGAAATGTTTATTGGCTATCAATTTGGAAATTAGCTTATAAAGTGGAATTTTTATTTAGTAATAATCCTAGTTTAATGTGCCGATTCGATATTATTTCTTAAGAAATATGACAAAAATATGAGCGTCGAAAAGAGAAATCAGGAATGGGAAAATGTGTGTGCAGAGAATACATTTACAACTATGCAGTGAATGCTAAATCCCAGTTGTGAATCGGCTTATTTTCAATTCCATAAAGCATCTAGATGCACATCTGCAGGAACACTTCTGCATTAAAAAAAAATTTTGACAAAACGCCACTTCCGTCTTTTTGGGGGTTAGGGCTCGTTAAGATACCCTAGAGATAAGTTTGCAGAACGGCAAGACATAAGTTCCCAACTACAAGAATAATAGAATACAATAGTGCGGCAATAGAGCTGAGAGCAACTGGGTGTGACGTAATATTAGTGAGAGAACGAGAGAGTAAAGAATAATTTTGAAGAAGCGGAAAAAGAAGAGGAAGAATGTTAGTAGAAATGTACCCACTTTTAAATTTGAACGTATTTTCGTTATAAGCAAATCATTTTAGGTGACGTAGCTAAATAACTTTTCGGCAATTTTTCTCTTTTTTTCCAAGGAATTTCAAAGCAAGTCCAAAAGTAGATATGGTTGCGAGAAGATCTTCGAGTATAGATATTATGTTATTAATTTTCATTGTTGTGTGCTGCTTGAAGGTACGATATTGATTTAATCGTCTCCCTTGTTACCTATTAAAGCTGCCAGTTCTGGGTTGAGATAATGTTCGCATGAACGCTTTGCAAGGTTGACCAACAAAAAAGCCGCGGTACTTTCGCTTTTCTTAAACTCATCAGTTGAAGCATTCAAATGTTTTGGAAATGTATGACTCGTCAGCAAATTATGTGCCACTACTGATCACTCGTTTGCTTGAACACCCAACTGGTAAACTCTTGAAGCAAATGAGTACATATTTAGTACTGGATGATAAACGTCAGAAAAAAGAGTACTTTAATGCAACAACAATCTTTTGCAGCATCTTACAGAGCATACTACTTACTCGAAATATTTCTAAGAAATCTAATTATAAAGCGTGCCACTTGCGCTTTCTCTAAACGTGTTTACTGCTGGTTAGCCCAAACAAATATTAAAATTTAAAAACTAATTAATAAAATTAAAGTAAAATAGTAAAAAATTAACAACCAAATACTTTTTCGCCAAATCCGTAAAGGACCCTTTTATTAAAAAAAAAAGAAAAAACGGGATAACAGTTAAATATTCGTCGCTACGCTGTGCTTTCAAGGCTGCAGGTCTGATATTGAATGTTTCACAAAACCGCTTCGATTAGATAACCGCAATCCACATGCAAGCACACTCCGATCAAAGTAAGGCAACGCAACCGCAAAATGGAATTTCAATTCAATTAAAGCCTATTAAATGTGTAACAGCTAAAACAAAAGCAAAAACCATAATCATAAGCGAGGCATCAGCAACCATGACAAGTATAGCAGGTGAGCGCTATACCATCGATTTTTCATGAATGAATGAGTGACTGCTGCGCCAATCTGAGGACAGCATTCGCAAAATGCTCATATTAAAATTCACATACAAATACTTATGCATATCCATGTATAAGGCGAGACGACAACACCCAGCAGCAGCGGCAGTCACCGCAAACTTCAAGTTTGTGCCTGGCTACAACGAATCCGATACCGACCTGTGTGATTCACTGATCTCCTTGTACTTGCCGCGACTACTTAAGTGTGACTGGTATCAATTTGCATAATTCGAGTACGCCAAAGTGTGAACGCATCGAATTTCTTGTTACTAATCAATATCGACTGCCTCCTTTACTGCATTTTATGTAAATATTTTTCGCATCAACGCCTCACACACTCCTCCCTTAACTATTTAAACAAAGTGTTAATTGCTGAACAGCATGCACTAGAACAACGCAAATTCTTGTTAATTAATTAACTTTGCAAATTCTTTCACTCACTCCTGTCCTTGGGAGCGCGTTTTGTAAGAGACCACAAGACAATAGTGCTTTTTATTATACTACTATTTTCCTCCATCCCCCTTTAATGCAAGTCATAGTGTATATGTATACTAGGGTGGGTCAAATTGTATAAGAGATTTTTTCGACTATGCCCGTATACCACAGAAGTATTCTACGTGTAATTATAATCAAATTTGCTGAAGAAACCATGGGTCCAAAATCAATTTGGAGTTCGCCAAATTGCGGAACTAGGTTTCCTAGCATTTTGCTGTAGTGTCGTAAAGAAGTGCTCAAATTTTATATAACGGGTTTTTTTGGTATAAGGAATCCATTTCTACACATATCTTCCTCTTATGACCTCCTTCAAAGGTCGCAACAGTAAAATTGATCACATTTTCTTCGAAACCTATTTTCACAAATCTACAAACCTCAAATTGATTTTAAACCCATGGTTTCTTCGGCAATTTTGCTTAAAGTTACTCATAGAATTCTCCTATTCTATACGCGCATAGTTACAAAAAAAAGTAAGTGCGCCTGAGTCACACTGGAGACCTTATAACCAATATACATACATACATCTGCTTTTGCTTAAGGGTATATTTTTAGTATTTTTCCTATTTAGATCCCAACCCTACCCCTGTTCCTTCTAATTACATTTATGTATGTTATTCTTTTCTCCTTTATCTTCATTTTTATCTTTATACTCTGTCGATAACAACATCCAACAAAATATCGATAACAAAACCAATAACAATATCGATAACACAATCGATAACAAAAATCGTTTAGAAAATCGACGAAATTAAAATTTTTTGATTTTCATCAAGTATAGCCGACAACGAGTCAGCATAGGGTACCTGTAGCCGGCAAAAGCCGACGACACCAATACACTTAAAGCGTTAATAAAGATATTTGACCATCTCCGTGTTGTGAACTAGGGATGTTGCGAATGTGGAATTTGAGACATCCGCGGATGCGAATGCAACATTTCAACAAGCAACATTTAAAAATATCAACATTTGAAAATAGAAAAGGCTTTCTCTAATAGCTGTCGCCTCTCGGCAGGCAATGGCAAACCTCCTTGAAAGGCTTCTCATAAAACCATTGGCGGTCACTTCATTTGTGTTATAACATCAGGACGCACACGACAAATTAGAGAAGAAGCTCGGCCTAACACTTAGAAAAAGACTAGAAGACATTTTCTTACAGAATAGATAGCTTCAACGAATTTTGAACAATGCGCGACTTTCAAATCATTTGGATCCAAAATATTACAAATAAATAAAAACATTAACCTATTCAAATCTCAACACAATTGGCTATCAACAGCTACTCGAGTCTTATCATGCGCATCTAAACTTGTTCAACGGCAGATCAATAACAAGCCTCTCGCCAACGCCAACAATACCGACACTTCTCGCCTTTATACAGGTGTTGATGGTAGGTACCACATAATTGCCGCTACTAAATTTGGTGGCAGCAAATGTGGCAATTTAGATGCTACGCAAGCTTCCATTACAGGCTCACTGAGTTGTTTATTTTTTTCGCTACCAACGGTTATGTTGTCATCGCTGATGCTGGCGCGCTTTTATTGTCGCGGCATTCCCCATTACTTGTTCACTTTATCTGCATAGAATAACTCTCTTTTTGTTTTAGTTGTTTTTTACCTCATTCCACGTTTACATAGCGCGATTCATATCTTAAAGCTGTCCATTGAAATAAACATACATACATACTATTTACTTGCACACATCTGTGTGTACTTATAGACTTTAGAGTGACTGTGAGATTACATAACATGGAGCGTAGGTGTCTGCCGCATTGTCGTCTCAAACGTGCTATCACGATCACATTTTGTGCTTCTTTCCGCGCCTTCTTATGAACCGATTCCAACTACGCGCTGACTGGCGGACTCACGTTCATAGTAACTACATTCATACACACACTTTTGTAGCTATTAATATGTT